TTACAGTGACAGTTCCTCTTTATGAAGACATCAGGGGTCTTTAAGACCCCTAATGTCACCTAGGGACCCCCAAAGAAGCTGATGAAGCAGACATCTGCTTCACCAGCTTCTCTCCGACTTCTGTAGCCTGAGAATGACAGCTGAATGCGGAAAGTGATGTAATACACATCACTTCCACATTCAGACACCAGAGGGGAGATCAGAGGGACAGGATTTCATACATTCTGTTTAAAATACAGTCAGTTTCCTACTCATGTGTGGGGCAACGCGCATGAGCAGGCACGGGAACAAGGATGTTTAAAAGCATCCATCCGCATTTAGGAAGCCACAGTCCGGCCAGACGTCAGGTGGTTAAATACATATGTTGGAGCTGCTTTATGTGCCAATAGTTTAGTATTTGTGGCCATCCATTTTGTGACTTAAATAGCTCTGCCAGATTGCACAGCAGGTTTAGTGACGTGACCTTTCTCTGTTGCAGATAAGCAATACAGCTAAGTCACCTCTCTACCTCCATTCTGTGTCTTACAGTTTATCTATAGCCAAAACTTTTTTTGGCTTTAAATAGAGTGGGGAAGGATTTTATTGCTGTCTGAAGATCCGTTAGAGAGATGTCACCTTGCTCACTGTCCTGGCATTTTTACTATACATAGGAAACTGTCTGCTGAAACTCCTCAACAGCAACACAGACAGAAGTAAAAAGTGTGTTTTGCTTTTTTTTCCACTTAAAGGAGAACTATGGGATGAGGGAAATACACTCCTCCCCATAATTAAAACCATTGTGTGACACTGCAGCTGTCACATGTCGGCTCTATTGATCGGGAACTCTGAGAACACATACCGCTGATTGCTCAGTTCCTGATCAACTCCCTGCAGAGTTTTCCCCCCTCCCCACCCTATTCCTCCAGACCTGACTGGAGGAACGGACAGTGGAAGGCACAGCTGGCTCTGCCTCAGCTGTCAATCAGGCAGTGGGGTGGATCCCAACAATATTGTCGCGATCTGTCCCAGTCGCAGCACGGCTCTGCCCTATAAGCATATAGTGGGCAATAGCATATATATATAGTGGACAATAGTATACAGTATGTCCTCTTGTGATCCTAAAGAGAACTATGGCAAAAAAAGGTTGGGCCATAGTTCTCTTTTACATTAAGTACGGGTATGCTGTAGAGTAGCCCCTGTCAACTTAATAAAAATAAAACATTTTTTTAACTCTGTCTGTGTTGCTGTTGGAGAGTTATCTTCACTTCCTGTCTGGTGAAAAGGTTATCCCTGGGACAGTGAGTAAGGGAAAAACTCTTTAACACTTCTTAAATTTGCTGAAATGTCAGTAAAGCAGTTTCTTTTGTATGAAGAATTACAGGTGTGCTAGTGGTATAGTTCTCACTTGGATTGCATTTGCATGTTACAGCATCCAGGTAGGTGATGTACATTGGTTAGGCGTGCAGTAGGGGTATTTAAGGTTCCCATTAAAGTCTATGGGACCAAAAAGCACTGTAATCTGCCAAAAAGTAGCTCATATACCTCTTCCAGGGACAGGCAGTTTTCTGCTTGCAACAAAATGCTCAGATGTGAACAGGGGGCAATATAAATGAATGGGATTACTTGTCTTGAGCGTTTTTAACGCTTACCTTTGAGTGACAAAATGGGGAGTGAATGGGGAGTAGTGGAGCCTCGAACAGCAGCAAAACCTAGCAGGGGGTCAACTCGTCCTCACTCTTTCCTAAACTAAAAAAAATGGCTGTAGATACACTTGAACAGCGAAGGAACTGCTGCAGACTGATGAGGTTATGCCTCTGCTCTGTCCTCCTGTCATGTATGTTTTCAGCACAATTGCATGCTGATTGACTTCTAATTCTCCCCCTCCTTCTCCTAGTCTGAATTCTGTTGCACAGGAGATTACAAGAGGTTGTTATCAAGTCAAATTCAGGTACTCCCAGCACTTTGTGTTTAAATATACATTCAATTTTTTATTTTATTTTTTGTGGATACAGAACATCATTGACTGGTGTATTTTTATATCTGCCTGAAGTTCAGCTTTAAAGAAAACATAATAATAATAATAATAATAATATGCCCAAACGTAAACATTTGTACTATTTTGCTTTACTTTACCCCTTGCTACCAATGCTAGTGGATTTCAGTTTCTGCCGTTGCTTTGAGCCAGGATGAAGGAAAGAATATTGTGACAACTATACAATTCCTTTTGGAAACCAAGCTTCTCTCTCTGTCTTGCACACCTGAAGTTAATCACTCTGTTGCCATAGAAATGCAAGCAAACCATGAAGACATAAATTATGATTATTAATAAAATGGGTAGAACTCGCCTGAAGGAGGGGTGATCTTGATTACAGCAATTAACACAGCTCGTGCTAGGAAGGTGTGTTTCGTGATGACAGGCTCTGCAGACTTCATTATTCACCTAGAAGGAGCTGCCATTCTGCGTAATCATCTCCTTTTGGCTCCAGCAGAAAGGAGAACCAACCTCACTTCAAGGGCAAAGCTTTTGAAACCTGTTGCTTCTGACAAAAAGAAAAAAAGCACACCTACAAGTTTTTCTTCCACTCTAAATTATTATGTGTAATAGCAATAACTGGCTTCACACACTATAGTATGCTTGATATTTATAAGGTGAGAACTTGCATAAGAACATACCACCCCAATACAGTTTTCCAGGAAATATGATTATGTAGACATGTAATAGGATAGCTGCTGTATCTATAGTAGAAAAGTAAACACATTTTAAGCAATTAATTGGCAGCTATGTTTTGGAAATTAATACCAGTAGATAATTGTTATGGCTTTTCCACATATGTGAGTCATAGCTTAGCAAGAGTTTCCCTGTACATCAGCCAGCCTTTTCCTTTGTTGTCTGTCTGATGCCAACAAGGGATATCTGAATCAAACTGCTTTGTTTTTAGCAACATAACATCATAGAAAGATCCACAATGTACATTACTCAACAGGACCTCTGGATGCCAAAAACATGGTATTCACGCTTTGAAGGCTTGATTGCTTTTAAATCAATAACTGTCATTATGTAATTATGGTTATGATTAGTAATTGTTAGTAATTAATGTCATGATTTTGCATGCATTTCCACTTCACATGCTACAGCTGAAACTCCTTTAAAAGCATATTCATTTAGTCATAACAATATGTTCTATAGTTTTAGGTATATGCCATTTAATACAAATAGTTTGGTTTCAATTTGAAGCATTTGACAAGTTACACTGAAACATGTAAGATAGTATTACGATCTTTATATAGTAGAGTAAAAATTCTGAATACAAGTCAACAGACCATAACAGTATCCAAATAGGCAGGCCTGGGAAAGTAAGTGAGTGTAATGGTAGAAGAGCAAGTGCATGCAGAAAAAGTAATGTACAATGATTCAAATAAATAGTCAAAGGCTGCAGCATATGTTAGCAGCTGGTCAGACAATATGTAGGTTAAGAGGTTTGATAAACCTAAAAATAGCCCATCTTAAGGCCCCTTTATATGGGCACTGTCAGTTATGATCAGCAAGGGATCCATCCGTGCTTGGATCCCCTGCTGATCAGAGTAGTATGGAACATGTGTCACAATTGTCCTAGTAACCATGACACTTAGACAAAGAAAAGTGGGGACATATCCAACATTTTTGAATTGTGACATGAACAAGAGATGAGGATACATTTTATGTTGGGGGACACCTGGTCCAGTGACAGCTGTCTAAATAAGGAATTCCACTGACTTTGTAGAGACTTCTTCTTACCTCCTGTTTTATCTCCGGGACAGGACATTAGAATACATTTCCCTGTTGGGACCCAAACAGCAAAAAGGTGACATGGGTTTTAACCTTTTCCTACTCTGTCATTTTCCTGCAAATGTTCCAGGTCAAACTCTATATAGGAAGGCAACATTGCTCAGCTGCATTCAATTTTCATGATTGCACAGAAGCACAATAAAGTCATTTGTTTCCTACTACAGTTGTGTGGTCTTCAATCAGAAGCTGTTTAGAAATGTGAGTGACACTAAACCAACCATTATAAATATTTGAATATATAACATTGTTTTTGTTCTTAAAACTCTCACTAAAAGAGGACTGAAAAAAAAAATTGGATGGGATTTGTTTCACACCCACCAGCCCTACAAGGAGGTATTGATAATCTCGGTCTCTGCTGCTAGTGAATTGAGAGAAATAGAGAAATGATTCAGTGTTTTTTCAGGGTGTCCCTATTTTTTTTGCCGGCAGGGGAAGGGGGGGGGGTGAGCAGTGGGAGGTGATGTCACTGTTTGACAGTGTATCCCAGGGATAGCTAATTGCTGTGCAGGGATATTTGCATGGCCCTTACACATCTACCTGCCCAGCTCTTAGCAACCTGGGATGCTCTGGCTGAAAAGAGGGTGGCAGGCAAACTGCAAATATTAATTACCTCATTAATGGGCCTGTGTGTATGCATCCTGGGATAGCACTAGGTCTGTTTTGTGACTTGACTGAGAAAAAAAGTCACAATACAATGTGAACTTCAAGACATGACATACCTGTGGTAAATAGCTGCATACTAGTTTAACAACTGTTACTAATGCCAAAAGTTTTTAATGTTTCTTTCATTTATAAGATAGAGTGGAACATTATTGAAACCTTTGTTTGTTTTTTTTGGGGGGGGGGTTCTGTCTGGAACATTTTTCCTCACTTTCTATCCCAGGTGATTGATACCAGTCACTGTAGAGGAAGTGAGGCAGTTCACAAATTGGCAACACAGACAGAAAAAATAAACCTGTAACCCTTCCACACTCCAAGACAAAAAAAGTTCAGTCTGGAGATCTGCTTTAGGTAAAGTAACACATGCACACCAAGAAATTTAAAGTAGACAACTTCATCTTATTTTAAAATAGATTAGACAAAACATTTTAATTATTGTTGACATTTGGATTTATTTAAAAAAACACGTAAAAACAGATAAAAAGAAAATGTATCCTTTTTTAAAATCATAAAAAAGTAAAATTCTGTAAGCATTAAAAACATAGCCAACATTTACAAAATTTAAATAAGCATTAAAATAGTTTTCCAAGTTAAAGCATTCAAAACACACAGTTCTGTAAAAGACAGTCTTCTGCAAGAGTATTTGGTCACCTTCAAACCATGGTTTCCAGAGGGGAATGTGACATACGCTGAAATGAAAACACATGACTTCGTCTCTGCTGGACTCACTTTCCTTGGGACAGCAAAGCTCACCATCGTGATCTCAAAAGTCTTCTTCAGAGCGATGCTCAAGTTTTGCTGACGTTTTGCTTAAACTCCTCAGCTCCGCTTCTTTTGTGTCCTCCTGCCCGGCTGAAATAAGATGCTATAACTTATCACCTGGTAGAACCTGAAAGTATAGAAAATATCTTCAAGGTACTTTTTCAGTTTTAAATGTGAGAACTTTTTTTGGTGGTGGCTAGTTTTTTGCTACAGTATTTGGATGGTCAACATCTCACTACAGCCTACAGATGTAATTAATTATATATATATA